GCCTGTGTGCTGCAACTACTGAAGCCTGCGTGCTGCAACTACTGAAGTCTGCGTGCTGCAACTACTGAAGCCTGCGTGCTGCAACTACTGAAGCCTGCGTGCTGCAACTACTGAAGCCTACGTGCCTAGAGGCCGTGCTCCGCAACAAGAGAAGCCACTGCAATGAGAAGCCCGCGCACCGCAAGGAAGAGTAGCCCCACTCGCCGCAACTAAAGAAAGTCTGCACACAGCAACAAAGACCCAACGCAGCCAAAAATAAACAGATAAATAAATAAATTTAATTAAGAAGAAAAAAAATAATGAGTGGGCTTCCCTGGTGGCGCAGTCGTTAAGAATCCGCCTGCCAATGCAGGGGACGCGGGTTTGAGCCCTGGTCTGGGAAGATCCCACATGCCGTGGAGCAACTACGCCCGTGCGCCACAACTTCTGAGCCCACGTGCCTAGAGCCCATGCTCTGCAACAAGAGAAGTCACCGCGATGAGAAGCCCATGCACTGCAACAAAAAGTAGCCCCCGTTCGCCGCAACTAGAGAAAGCCCGGGTGCCACAACTAGGAAGACCCAATGCAGCCAAAAAATATATATATATAAATAATGAGTTAGTGTGTCCCTCCCCTTTTGGTTTAATTCTGTTTTTTTGGAGGTATTACATATATGAACGTCAAGCTATATAAAAGTCAAGTAACAATTAGAATCACTCCCATCCCTGCCCCCTCCACTGTGTTCCTGCCCACGATCCTCATTGGTTTCTGGTTTGTCCTTCCTGTGTTTCTTATTCAGGGAGCTAATGTATAAGAAAGGGGGTGGTGGCTGACAGCCTCTGAGGAAGTGATATTTAAGCTGAGGCCAGAGGAGTGACCAGGATGCGTCAACCATGCAAACAATTTATTTTTATCGAGTATGCCAAACAATTGCCCAGAAGTTTTGCCCAGACTGGAGGGGGCAAGCATGCCACTTGGTGAATCATTTTTATTCATGCAACAAACATTGACTGGGCTTGTGGATGCCAGGTGCTGGGCTGAGGTGGAGTGGAGTGCAGGGGTGAGGGGTGGAGAGCACAGGGTTGGAATCCAGAGGGCTGGCTCCATCTCTCTGTGATCTTGGGCACTGTCTGGGTCTCGGTTTTCTCTGTAAAGTGGAGGTGGCAATACCTACTTCAGAGGTTATAGGATTAAATAAAACCACAGATGCACGTAAGGGCTGAGGAGGCTCCTTGTGCCAGGCCCTTTTCCCACCCTCTGCTCATAACAATCCTATGAGGTTGGTGTATTATGATGCCTGAGGTGCAGTGTCCCATCCTCTTAACCTTCACTACAGTCAGGCACCTCTTAAGTGCTCAGTAATGGTAACTACACATTTCAAACACAAGGTGTGACTTTGGCTTCCAGGGGCCAAAGTTAAGACTCAGGTTAGCAAGTGGTTCCTCCCAATCCAAGATCCAGTGTGAGATACCCAGTGTGAACTAGGGACAAAAGAGGGAGGAATGTGTCTGACGTCATCAGGAAGGTGTTTCAAAGATGCTTGAACTGGGACTTCCCTGGTGGCCCAGTGGATAGGACTCTGCGCTCCCAATGCAGGGGGCCCGGGTTTGATCCCTGCTCAGGGAACTAGATCCCGCATGCATGCCGCAACTAAGAGTTCACATGCCACAACTAAGGAGCCGGTGAGCCGCAACTAAGGAGCCTGCCTGCCACAACTAAAGGAGTCCTCCTGCTGCAACTAAGACCTGGCACAACCAAATAAATAAATAAATTTCTTTTTAAAAAAATAAAGATATTTGACCTGAGCCTTGAAATGTGAGTTTACTGGGTGGTGGCGGCCGGGTTTGGGAAAGGTGGTGAGGTGGAGACGGTCATTACCAACCAAGGAAACAGCATGTGCAAAGGACCAGCTTGATACAGAGTTTCCAAGCTCAGAGGGGGAAGAAGATCTATAGCAGCCAAGGCTGGAAGAGGCAGAGGCCAGATCCCAATGGCCTGCTTTCCATCCGCCAGCACCTGCACTGCGGGGGACCGCTGATTAGAGAAGAGGACACCATGGATGTGAACTTGAGGAATGTGCATCTGGGAACAGTGGATAGGGAGATTGGAGGATGGAGAAAGGGGACAGGGAGAGTTGTTAGGGAGCTATGGTCACAATCCAGGCAGGAGGCAACCAGAAGGCAAGGATGACTGAACCGTCTCAGAACGCGGTGTGCTTAGCCAGCTGAGAGAGGGAGTCGGAGGCTCTGAGGTTCCCTGCCTGGGAGCCTGGGAGCACAGCAGGACCACTGATAGAAAGCTAGAACACCGATGGGGGACGTGCATTCTCAGCTCGAAACTAAGGGGGCGCGGCCAGGGAGGGAGGAGCAGGGCTGGGGGCGGGGCAAGAAGGAGGAGGGTGTGGTCAGCGGGCTCAGCCACCGGGCAGAGGAAAGGGAGGCTGGCAGAAAAACAAGCTTCCTACTGATCATTTTCCCCTAGTTCTTTTCCTTTTTCTTTTCTCTTTTTTAAATTGAAGTATAATTCGTGTACGAAAAGCGCACACATCTTAAGTGTACACGGATCCATAGCTTTTTACCTGTTTCTATATACCCGCGTAACCTCACCTGATGCAGATGTGGGCGGTTGTCAATACCCCAGCGAGTTCGCCCATGCCCCTTCCCGTGCAATACTCCCCCTCACAGACACACAGGCGACCACTCCTCTAAAAATCAACAGGTGACCTTTCGACTGGGGTGGGTGGGAAGTGGGGGGAAGAGGCAGCTGAGGGTGAGGCGTGGAAGGAGGTGGTTTTGAGACTCCAAGAGGTCTGCCCTCGTTTGGAGGCCAAAGAACCCTGGAGAAGGGGGATTGACGACTGGATGGCAGAAGGTTTGGAGGAGGAAGGAGGGGAGGAGACACCGGGAGAACTAGGTCTGGGACAAAAGGAGGGACTAGGCTTCCTCTGAACTTGGTTCATTCACTCTCCCCCACGCCCCGTAAAACACGAGCCACCCACGCCCCGCGGCTGCTGCCTCCTAGGTGGTGGCATCCCCTCTCCTTTCCTACCTACCTTTTGATGCCTTCCCCCTCCCTCCGCAAGCCAGGGCCTCCCATGGAGGAGTGGATGGAGCAGACCACTGCCGTCAGCTCCAGTCGGGGGCGGGGTCACTCCAGCGTAGCTTTAGAACCTTCCACTCCTGTGTTCCGTCTCATTCCCTTGCCTCCCCCTCCCCCACCCACACTCTATTTCAGAAACAGATACAGGAATAGTTACAGCCAAAATGCTGAGCCCCCATGTCACATCCTCTCCCAGAGCCTGTAACACAGGTTCCCGCAGGAACCCATCTAATCCTTCCAAGGAGTAAACCCATTCCAAGCTCCAACCTCAAGCTGCCCAATCACCAAACATCTACCCTCGCTCAAGCCACACTTCTCTGGGGCCTGCTTTCCTGGCTGCACGTGAATTGGTGAG